TAAATGGAGAGAAAATGTTTTGAGAAACGATGTACAAATGCGCTTTACACAATTGATGTGTGTATGGATTGGGATAACAGTTGTATGATCCCCTAATAAAATGTTAAAAAAAAAAAAAGAACCTGAATCTAGAACGCACGACGTATGCATCTAAGGTAAATAACAATCATTAACAATGAAATGGAACACATGCAGTTTGATATGCTGGGTATTAGTGCTCAGTGCTTTCTAACACTCTTCTGGAACTCTTGAGTGCGGTTAATATTAAGAACTTCTAAACATAGTACAGTCAATGGAATGCAAAGCCTCAGACAGCTCAATTCAATAAAGAACTCTTAGAAATTTAAGTAGCACTTTTGTAGAGTATACTTTGGTATCAGGATAAACATATCATGATAAACACCAATAAATATGACATTTGGTTGATGTAGGAGCACTGGTGGCATAATGGTTACACTTTGGGCTGCGATCCACAAGGTCCACAGTTTTAAACCACTAGGTGCGCCATGGGAGAAAAGCAGGGTTTTATTTGCTCATGAACAGTTTCAGTGAAGAATCTCACAGGGCAGTCTGACCTTCTCCACTAAGGTCACTTTGTGTCAGCCTTGTCTCGCAGGCAGTGAATCTGAGTTATACAAGTATAATTAGGTAAGCAATCCCATAGTGGACTATTAAATCTATACTCTAGACCAAGAATGTTTCTCTATTTGGTCCGATTTAAACAAAAAACATTTTATTGGGGGCTTTTACAGCTCTGATTTCATACCTCAATTATATCAAGGTTTCCTCTGTGTGTGTGTGAGTGTATCTGTGTGTACACTGAAAAATTGCTTAAAGAGAAATTGTCTTATTTGATCCAATGATGTATATCATCTCAATAGCATATTTTCATTTCTAACATGCAGAAAATTGGAGTGCCCAGCTCTTTCTGAGGGTGAGATTATAAGAAAACTGAAACAAACAAATAAATCCTCATACATGAACCTACATTGCATTTTATTACATGACATTTCTAATTATGCCAGTAGGTGACAGACAAAACAATTCAAATTATGGTTACTATTCCTTTAAAATGAAGTATCCAACTGATAGATGTTTTGAATATGATAGCAAGCAATCTTGATCCCATACTATTTTCTGTATTTAAGATTTGTCTGGGAAGTTTTTTTGGTCATATTCAACATCTATGACCTCCTACTCCCACTGAGCGGATCTGTGCCACAGTGGCTTCATGGGGCAGAATAAAAGTGCTCGTTATGGTTTCCAAAGCTGTAAATCTTTAGAGGAATAGACAACCACACCCTGATCTCAAAACAATGTCTTTGAAGTCACTGCCATTGCTACTGGTAGTGACACTGTAGGGCATGGTAGAACTGCAGATGTGGGTTTCTGAAACTGTACTTCTTTCCCTGCTGTGGGGTTAATTATGACCCACAATGACCCTATAGAACATGGTAGAACTTCCCTTATGGGTTTCTGTGATTATTACTCCTTATAGGACAGGAAAGCCTTCTCTTTCTCCCCAAGAGAGGCTGGTGATTACAGACCGTTAACCTTGTAGTTAACAAGACTGCAGAGCTTCCGAGAGTAGAAGCCTCTCATTATTTTTATCTTCTTATCTCCAAGGTAAGTGACGAAACTCATAATATCTATTAACTTTATGTCGGTTCTCTTGTTTATAAGTGTGTTGTTATAAATATGTCCAATGTACTTGTCAAGCAGATAACCTTAGTTATATATTAAGAGTAGTTACCTTTGTATTCAGATATAGATTTTCTCAGAAAAGTTCTTGATTGAAAAGTACCAGGGAGAATAGAATTCCTACATGTTTATCTCACAGGAAACTAACCAAGAAGATAATATGATTTTCCAATAGTCTTCTGGCTGTTGAAGAGTGATTCTATTACATACTAAAGTTTGAAAATCTCCAACATTGTGACATTGTCCAAGATACAAAGGTAATTTAGTACACAAAAAGCAATAAAACATGACTTTTGAATTAACTTTCTCCTTTGCTTTCCTTAGAAAATATTTGTCCTTGAAGTTCATTTTTTATTACCAACACAACAAATCAGTGTTTACCATGATATCACAATCATGGTCTGTCAGATGTTCACTACTAGTTTGTGATATCTCCCAGTGTAAACTTCAAGTCATCATTAATGATTACATTTGCTTCCAAAGGTTCTTTCCTGCAGCAAGAGGGTAATATTTCTCACGTGCTTCCCTCATTGGTGTAATGTTACTGTAAGAATCTCACTTTCATACTGCGTAAGTAGATCTAATATCTCTCTAATGAGATAAACCAAGTTATTTGGAATTAGCTGTTCTATTAAAAGAATAAGTCACTGTCTACAATCTACTTTTATCACCCTTCTTTAAGTATCTAGTTCTTTCTAGATCAATCTTAACATTCACAACAAATCACAAAACTGAGAGGTTCAGCTGGCATTGACAGGTATCACAATGTATAACAATTTTTATGCTGCTGGGAGAATACAGGCTCATTACATTATCAAGGAAATCTAAAGCAAAAGACGGTAAACTATGAGCATCTAGTATGGTAACACCCTTGCATTTATAAATCTATCACCCATTAAAACTTTAAATTATAGAGAAAGCATCTCTGTCATAATAAGAATATATTTATTTTAAAAGAAATGCACTTAGGCTTCAAGATAGGGTAGTCATTTTTTCATTATCTGCTCATTCAAAAATGTGAGATGGAAATAAGTAGTCACACATGTGTGTGGGTTGCTTCATTGGCTCTTCATATATATATATGAAAGAGAGAGAGAGAGAGAGAAATACCAACGTTTTTGCTTAGTAGGGACAAATGAATACACAATAGACATATTTATCTATACAATGTAAATTTCATGGAGGCATAATGTCTAGTTTACATTCAATAATATTCACACCCCTCTGAGTGAATGTTAATGCATTACTATTTATTTAAACTGTATTTTCTTGTTAATGAAACTAGAGCATGCAACATTTTATGAAAGTGTGGTGAATTAATGGATAAGATTACCTCACCTCCCTGGAGCCTTCTGAGTCTCTACAGAAGAGGAAATTAAGGGAGACAAACTGAACTGTGATGCTTGGGGACTCCCTTGATTCTCCCTGTCACCGTTGTAAGCCAGCTCAAGGCCTCAGGGGAGTCTGGCTGCTCTTGCCTTCCTCCACCAGCCAGACGGTAACGGCCCACTGCTTTTATTCATTATCCTGAATGTAATGCACTAAATTTAACAAGTAACACACTCAGCGGGAATTTATTGGCCTTTTGCAGCATGATTGCAAGGTAGGATATGGATATGGATTCCAATTACTGTTGACACCCAGATAAGAAGAACAAAGCCTGTATATAATTATTAATCAAAGTTGATATTTTAGGAAAATAAATGCATATATCTATGAGATTTGTGGCAAATGTTCTCAGGTTTAAAGAACTCTCCCTGATTCCACAATGAGAGGATTTCAATTAAACATGACAATAATAAGGCAGGAAAACATAAAGACAAAAAGATTATATAAATTATTTTCACATAAAAATAGCTGGATGAAGACTTTGCCCTGCCAGTGCAGATTTCCATGGTCTTTAAACTTCTTCCTAACAAGCCTTCACGGTGCTACTGTGTCCTTGGAGAAAATCTAACAAGATGACCCCCTTTGCAGGATATACCTGGAAGAAATAGGAAGCAAAACGCAAGCAGATACACACACGCCTATGATGATCCCATCACAATTCACTGTAGCCAGGAAATGAAGGAAACCTAAACGCCCATGGGTGAGGGGATGGAGAAACAAACTGGGTGCAAATACACCATGGGATCCGACAGGTCCTCAAAGAACAACGATGAAACTGCCAAGCGTTTCAGGGCGTGGACGAATTTGGAAGATAGCCGCGGGAAGTTAGTCAATCCCACCAAAACAAATACTGCATGAGACCACTATTATAAAAGAAAAGAAAATCAAGGAAAATGGATTTCACCCCCCAAAAGAAGCAGACTTTGATGCCAGGGCAAGGGAGCGGGGAGAAAAATAAATAAATAAAATTATTTTTTGAAAAAGACACATAGGTAGTAACACACAGAGATAGTTGTATAGCTCAACGCACAGGTGAACAGATAGATAGTAGTAGTAGCACAGATAGTTTCATTCAAGAACATTAACCCTTCTTGATTCTCCTGTGGTCATCCCCCAACCAGTTGCTGTAACCTCTCTGCCTTGAATTAAACTGATGTAGCAGATCCCCTTGGAAGCCAGTGCTTTGATGGTACTTTGTTTTGTTTTGTTAAAGGCAGGCCAATAAAGCTAATTGCATCGCTGAGAGGACTTGCCTGCAGCCCTCCACTGAACACAGAGACATGTGCAAACATGTTTGTTTGTTTGTTTGTTTGTGAATAAAACTGTGCATGTATGAACTGAAACCCTAGTAGCAATACTGTTTTCCATACCCTGGAATATCTGCAAAGGAGCCTTGGTGGTGCAGTGGTTAAGTGCTGAACTGCTCACCAAAAGGTTGACAGTTCAAACTTCCCAGTGCTCTCTGGGACAAGGATGTGGCAATCTGCTCCTGTGAAGATTTGCAGCTTTGGAAACCCAATGGGCAGGTCTACTT